TCTTCATTTGATTTGTTTTCACGTCTGAGCCGTTGTTTTTCACCAGTCGTTAAAATTAATTCCTTATGAATACACAGAATATTCTGTTAAATCTATTAGTATATTTCAAAACTACCTTTCTCATTCCCGATGCATAACATTTGTCAAGTCGACACCTTTTGCACAGCCTGTCCACTGGTGTTAATTTGCAGCCAATTTTTGAGTAACACTTATATTTCTATTTGAATTTTACATATTTTTAAATATAAATATTAAACTGTATTTTAAATTACTTTATTTGTAGGTGCAGTCCGTTTGAAGAACTGTTTGCATGATAAACAGGAAATGGCTCCAAAATGTCTACCTTGAATAAATTAATTATTGAAATTTGAAAGTCGACTATATTAAATTATACAATTAATTTAAGCATGGATATTGTTACTCTAATACCTGTGGCTTTATCACCGCAAATAGCACAGAATTTGTCGTTTTGTTTGTCACTCATTTTATCAAGGTATTTAATATGTATTTATTTTATCATTGGATTATTATTAATTTGAAAATCAAAATTAAAACATATGAAAAAGTAATACTGAATACGAAATAAAAATACTAATAATAAAAGTGTAACCAAAGTCTTTATTGCTTATCTATTAATATTGTTTACTGTTTAATCCAATATATACGACATTATATTATAATTGCACATTTAATTTGTAGATACATATTAATAATTAGACGTATTAGCGTATTTGTAATTTATTAAAATTACAAAAATATATATAGATATTTAAAATGATTTAGAATAAAATATGAATAAATTAATACTCTTGGTTTAAATTTCATTGTAAAAATGAAATTTGACTTGAAACCTTTTCAATCTGAATAACCACTTTATTTGTTCACATAAACCTGTTTTCAATGACATGTCTCAACACAATAGAAATAAAATTAAAAGGTTAATAAGAATAGACATCAAACTCATTGAATCAATTAAATTTCTAAACTATCAAATTGTATGAAAACTTTAAGATGTAGTCAAATTCCCGTTCATAACATGACAATATAATATAAATTGATTGCTCAAATTACATTTAAGTTTATTAGTAGAATGTATTAAATAAAATTTTGTGCAACTATGATTTTTAATATCTAGTTTATAAGTCATAGATCTCTTTAAATAGTGGTCCACAGGAATGGATATACGGTTTCATATCCTCGATTTCATTCACTTTATGGACTTCACTCACGACCTGTAGTTCTCTCAGGGAATTCATAAATCGCTGTAATTTTGTTTGCGATTCAGAATCGGATTTATGTTTTAATAGCAAATATCGTTGTAATAAATATATATACAGTTGCTGTTCCAGTCTATCAAACAAAAATAATTCATTAATTATACCAAGCTAAATCAAATTATATACTAAAGGTATCATACTTGACATAATGCCTGTACTTTAAGTTAGGCCGGTTTGGGTTAAACAGTATGATTGCTGTTAACTAGTGTTGAAAAATATGATAATTATTACTAAATTAATTAATTACAATTATAAATAAATACCAAATCAATAACAACAAGGTCGTGATCCCACTCCGTTAGCAAGTTGGTATAAAACATTGAGTTTAAATCGAACATGTTCCTTTTGTTATTCTTAAGTAAATCCAAACTAAACACTAATGAACTGTCGTTATCCTGGTAATTACAAAACAGGTCTAATTAAATGTTGTTAATTTATGAAGTATATAAATATTACCAAGTGAACAGTAAAACTATAATTGCTTTCATTGAAATATGTCAAAAATCTGAGCAAGATCATTTCAATGGCGCCATTCTTGATGAGCGAAAACTGATCGTCGGAACAGATAGTTGTGAATGAATTCAACATTTGTGTGAAATTTATAAATTCTGAGATCTGTTTCTCAGATTTCTGTGAAATACAAAGTCTTAATTGAATCTCATCTCTCACTTCAAGAATATTCTTAGTCGTGGATGACTTCAATATAGTGGTGGCGCTTAATAACTCGGATATCCGGCTGAATTCAAGTTGATTTAAGCCATTATAATCAGTGAGTTCACGGAATACAGGTTTGATGGCAAATGTGTGCGATTTCTCCATTAGTCTATCCAATGATAACTCATTTTCATGACTAGAT